CATTCAAGGATGGCACAGCGAGCCTCTGTGTATTTATGTACATAATAAGGCAGCTCGTCCCCTCCACTTCATTTGCATCATTACAATATCTGTACAAGCACATCACATTGTCTGTTGCTTGCACCTTTTGTTACGGTTGCTGTCACAGTCTACGCGACTTGACTTTCATATTTTTAAATGAATTGATATTATACCAACAACACCCACTCGCATCCCAGGCTCTGGGAAACCGGGCTCCGCTGCACCGGGCGCCCCAGCCCCGTCTCCTCCCGAGCCGGTCTCTTCTTCCATCGGATCCCAAGGAAGGTGGGGTGGGGGGAGCCGCTTTGTAGGATCAATCATTCGTATAAATTATTCCTATTCGTATTAATTTGGTTTCCACTCCCTTGGGGGGGGGGGGGGGGGGGGGGCTTTTTAGATATTTTTTTCTTTCTTCCCTTTGCATCAGCCAGCCCGGCTTTTGTATAACCTCCTGTTTCTTCTCCCCCCCCACCCCACCTCTCCCTTCCCAAACTCAAGTCTTTCGGGCTGTGCACCTGCACGTAAGAGAGAGATTGGCGGCGGAGAAGCTGGAAGAGGCGCCAGCAGATGTTCCGCGGCGGGTCCTTGCTGTAGCTAGGAGAGAAACCCGTGAAATACCTCGCAGACCGCTAGGAAATTCGGCCAGAACGAATGTTTTTGGAAACGTTCGCGCTCCCCAACCCCGGCTTGGCAATCTTCACCTGCTGGGTATTTTCCTGCCGGTGCGTGTGTGTGTGCGGGGCTGGGGGTTGTATGTGTGTGTGTGTGTGTAGAAGGGGGGGGATCCCCTCTCCGAGCGCCCGGTGGCTGGATGGGGTGATGGGCGCCCGGGCCGGCGGCGGGGGGCTGCGGGGACAGAGCCGAGGAGCCGCGGGGTGATTCTCCGGGGAGGGGGGCGGGGGGGGAAAGCAGGCGAGACCCCCGCCCGGGGCTGCGGGAAAACCATATTAATGGGGAGACAAAGGCCGGACCGTCCGGCGGGGGCCCTGCGGGAGCGGGGAAACGAAATACGGCTCGGGAAGGGAAGGAGAAAAGTTTCGCGGGAGAGGAATTATCATCATAATGGAGGTAAAAATGTGAGCAGGGGAAAGGAGGGGGAGAATCCTATTCTGCTGGCATTTTCTGTCTGTCTTTGTGATATGGTTCGGGGGAAAAAGGGTCCTTGATATGCGGCAGATAATTCTTATCAGCCCCACGCAGCCCATTTCCAAAGTAAGTGTTTTAATTACTCCTCCTGTATTACCCTTCATCCTCTGAGAGGAGATACATCGCCAGATTTATGCAGGGGAAAAATACAAAAGAATGCGGTATTAAAATATATACATATATATGTCCCCCTCTTTTTTCCCTTCTGCCCAGGAAGACGCTGTCTCCAGCCGCGCCCTGGGATCGCCCCTGCTCGGAACGACTCCGAAACGAGGGACCGTCGCCCAGGGGGGAAAACTACGGGAAAAGCGGGGTTTGAAGCCTGCAGATTTTTCCCCAAACGGGGACAAACAGGGGTGTCCGCCCCGGGGACTCGGGGGGGCTGAGACCGGCGGAGGCGCGGAGCTGCCCGGCAGAGGCTGACGGCGCCGCTGCCCGCTCGCCATCCGGGCTGTCCCGGGGCCAGGGCCACCCCCTCAGGTGCCACCAGAGCCATTTGGGGCCGCAGGGGCGAGGGGTTGCGATTTCCCCCTCATGCCCGCTGGAAAAGAAGGATGTTTTCCTCTGCTGTTTAGCTTTCGTACTAAAGATGTCATCTGAAAGTCTGGGAGGGAGAGCCGTGTGCTCCGCTCTCTTCCACGGTAACAACCATATTCTGCATATTGAAAAATATTATAGACAGTGGAGAAGGCTTCTTTTTTTTTTTTTATCCCCTTAAAAAGAAAAAAAAAAAAAGAAAAGAAAAAAGAACCAACCTTTTCAATATTGATTCAACAAAAAAAGAGAGGGAGAGAATTTAAAAAGAGAAGAAGCAGCACCAGCAGCAGGGAGAATATAGGCTCAGCAACTCTCCAGGTTCGCTTCCTTATTATTACTATCCAGGGGTAATTTTTCATCTCTGCTAGCTAATCTTTGTTCCTTGTGAAGATAATGAATAGCCCAATCCTTATCTCCTGGGCTCCTGGAGGCTGCTGGAGAATGGGGTTGAACAGGGTTGAAAATTGGTTCCAAAGTGCTGCTGAATAAATGGTGTTCCTTATCTCTCGCTTCCAGATTATCGGAACCCTTTCAAAACTCACACAACAAATACAGCCACCGCATCTAATGCATCATTTACCAGAGCAGATCTCCGCGTTTGATCGGCAGATAGGCAAAATCTATGTATTCCTTGCTTTACTTAGTATGCATGGACGCGGGGCTGCTGTGCGTGCGGGGTGCCCCCGGCTGGGCCTGGGACACCCCCGGGGCTCTTAGCACACACGGGTCTTGTGGACTCTGCGGGGTGAGGAGGGTGTCCCCTGCCTGTCACCCACCCGGGGGAGCAGGGTGGGACGGCAACACACCTTGCAAGGTGCTGTGCTGCCACACGGCACATTTGGGAATTGGGGGTTGCTCCGCTGGGGAGCTGGTGGGTTTGCAGGGAGAGGAGAAGAGGTGTGAACATCATCCCGGGCACCCATCGCCATCACACTCACTCCTGCACCCACGGTGGCATTAACCCGCACCCATGAGCCGTCGCTGATCCAGGGGTGTGTGGCAGCACCCATGCTCCTCCAGAAAGCCACTTTTAGGCTCAGCTGTGCCCCAGTCCCTCCCCAGCCCTTAGTGGTCTCAGAGCCCAGCTGGACCAGGCTGGTAAAACCTCTCCGTGCCCCCTCCAGCTTGTTTCCCCCCAAATCCCTGCAGCCCAGCCGTGGAGCCCAGCTAGTCCCTTGGGTCCCCCTGGGGCTGGGACTGTCTTCCCAGCTGGTGATCCCCCCCAAATCCCAACTGCAGGCAGGACAGGGCACCTGGAGCAGCCCAGGTATGGGGAGTAACTGGTGATCCTGGGGGAGAAAATAAACAAATAAACCCCAGAGAAAGAGAGTCTTTCTTCACTCCTGGAGGTAGTGTGAAATCTGTCCATTTTCTCTTTCTTTCTTTCTTTCTTTCTTTCTTTCTTTCTTTCTTTCGTTCTTTCGTTCTTTCGTTCTTTCGTTCTTTCGTTCTTTCGTTCTTTCTCTTTTTCTCTCTTTCTCTCTTTCTCTCTTTCTCTCTTTCTCTCTTTCTCTCTTTCTGTCTCTCTTTCTGTCTCTGTCTTTCTTTCTCTCTTTCTTTCTCTTCTTTCTTTCTCTTCTTTCTTCCTCCCTTTCTTTCTTCCTTTCTCTCCTTCTTTCTTTCTCTCCTTCTTTCTTTCTCTCCCTTTCTCCCTCTCCCCTAGGTTTTCTTGGTTTCTATTATCTATTTTTATTTTAATTCCTTTCCCCCAAAGCATCTTCATACCAGTAAACACCTCCCAGCCTGGCTGTGCAGTCCCCAGCTCCAGAGCATGGGATCCCCCAGCCACAAGCCAGGGACAGATGTCCCCTCAGCTCTCACCCCCACCTTCCTTCCCCAGCAGCACCTGAGCTGGTGCCCAGTAACAAACAAGGGGACATTTTATTTTGCACCAGCACAGCACACCCCCACATCCCCTGCGCTGCTCTGGACCCCCCAGCCCAGGGGGCCAGCAAGTTCTGGGTTGGGGACAGGACATCCACAGTGTCCGTGTCCCTTTTGCTTGTCCAGCAAAGCTCATCCCTCCCCTGCCTGGAAAGGGAGAGAAACTTCCGTGGGAAGTTGCGGGCAAACAGCAGCCCCAGCCAGCCCCTGCCCGTGCTCAGGAGTTTTGCAAATGTTCAACTTGTACTAATTTTTTTATGGCTGTATTCACAGTTGTTCCCCGTAAAAAATGGACCTGTGTTAGTTTATTAATAACCTAAACATTACGTATTAAAGACCTATGAGTGACACAAGATGACAAAAAGCTGTATTTTTCCAATATACACAAGCACACATTTAATAACCTTCTATTGCATCTCAGCTAGGCCTTCTCTCTGATGGTTCCCATGGCAACTGAGATAAAAAAGCAGCCATTTTCCATATCTCTATGAAAGTCTATTATATTGCAGGATTAGTTCATCTTCTGCTAAGGTCAAACACAAAGTCATACAACCTGAAATATTTAGAATCCATGTACATTCATTTTTTTATATGCCCTTTCATTTTCCACAAAAGACTGCGCTCCTCTGAGGTTTTATTCCCCAGAAAATGCTAAGCAAAGCAATAAAAAAATCATGATTAGCAGCTGATGAAAAGTTCAATTGTTTTTTTTTTTTCCCCCCAGCTTTGCATACATTGCCCATCTGTTCCTATTCAGCATCGTTCTCTGGCCACATGCACTAGCATAAAATCGCAGTATCTCAGCTGCAAGATTTTTTTTTTTTTTTTTCTTTTAAAAAAAAAAAAAAAAAAACCCACACTATTGTTGGGCAGATAGTGCCTTCCCCATTTATCTCTATCAGCAGCCGTGATTGCAGCCGATACCGGCTGCCTAATTGGGCTGGGAGCAATTTGCAGGCGGACGGCGTCACCTTCTGGCTAAGGCGGGTGAGACAGCGGCGGTGCAGGGTCAGGACCGGGGGGGTGGGTGTCTCCGGAGCCTCCCCCCCACATCTTTAGCATCCCCCAGCCCCCAAACCGGCGGCCGGGTGTAGCCGGGGACCGAGGACGGAGCCGGGATGCGCCCGGGAGGCTCCGTGGGGTTCCCCACGGGAGGGAACCCCGGGCGGGACATCATCGCTCCGTAAAAATTCATAGAATCTCGCTACGAGCTTGAAAACACTTCACGAGTCTCTATCTGTGTATTCCTGCCATGATTAAAGATTTTTATTTATTCGTGTGTCGTGATGAGGTGCTCAAAGTCTTTCACCTGCAAGTTTCAGCTACCGCATGCTTGCAAAAAGGAAAAAAAAACCCCAACAAACCAAGTATCGAACACATCTGAGTCGCTCCCCTGAGCTCTGGGCTCCAGCATGGTGTGGAGAGGGAAAGCAAAGTCACTTTTCTTTCTTTATGAAGAAGTTGGCAACGTAATTCAGCCGGGGCTTGGTGACACCTAGCAATGCAATAAAGTAAAACCTGGGCAGCCTTCAGACAGTTTGAATTGTGACAAACGTGTTACCGCCCACGACATGAACAACTATGGCTCACTCTTTTTCCAAGGTCACTCCTGAAAACCTGGAAAACGAGGGACAGAATTTGTGCGTGTGGCCATCCACGCTTGTGGCTTTGTTCACAGGTACCTGCTGCAATGTGACATTTATTCCAGCCCCTTTTAATGTGGAAAAATAGAGGCTCTGGAAATACGTGCAAAAGAGAAGAAGCTCGTGGGTGGCAGAAGAATTATTTTTTTCCTTCTTTTCCCCATCCCTCCACCCCCTGGGGGCCACACAGGGTTGTCCCAGTGGCCCTGGCCATGCTGTTGGTGGGGAGTTAGCAGGGATGGTGTATCCCGGGCTATCCCTGGAGATGACCCACACCTGCTGCAGAGAGGTGGAGTCGGGGTTAGGAGCCAGAGTGGGCAAAGCCAAATCCTGGCCCTGACCCTCCGTCCCCTGCTGCCTCAGCTTCCCTGACCCGGGTGAGGTGGGTGGCACGGGGTGCACACCCCCACGGTGTTGCCAGAGGCTGGCATGTACCCAAAGGTGGTTTTAAGAAGCTGTTTGCAGGTAGGTGTTCCGCAGCAGTGGCCAGAGCCACCTCCCAAAAACAGGCAGCAGCCCTTGCTGTTGGCAGCACAGCTGGGAGGGAGATGCCAGGGTGGCTTCCTCACCTGGGCATCCCCTCACCTGGGGCACCTGTGCACCCATAAAAGCCCACACCTGCACCTTTTATATCCCTTTGGGTTTCACTTCCTTCGGCTCCCTTCAGTGGAGGGCAGACACCTACATTTTTGGGGCTAATAGAAAGCTTTGTGTTTTGGAGCCTGTGATTTGGAGGTCCTGTCTCTCTTGGCTCTATTTCTAGTGGCCATATTTCTAGTCTCAGGGTTTGTACTAACGGGATGAAGCCTGAAAGAGTGTCCTGAGCCTGAAGTTTGAAGAGGAGCATATGGCATCACCAAACGTAGGTAGTTTTCTGCTTTAAGTCTTGTGGTTTCTTTTCTTCCCTACTTTATCCTTGCCATCCCAGGCAGCAGCTGATGTGGTGTTTGCACATCTGGGGTCTGTAGCCTTGAGGAAGCCTGTAGAAATCTGGGAGTAACTCAGTAACCAGCTAAAAATGGTTGTTCCCCTGCCTGCAGTGCTAGCACCCTCTTCTTGGGGTGGTGGTACTGGTCTTCTCCTCTCCTGGCTCTGGCTTTCTTGTGAAATCTGCTGCTGGGGGGTAGGTGGAGGCTGAGCTGCCCCAGTGCTGGAAGTGTGGGTGCTACCAGGGGGGCTGTGGTGGAGCTCACTGCGAGGGTCCCTGCCCTCCAGCATGTTGGGATGTTTGTGTGCCAGTGCCTGTCGAGGCTGTCGGGAACGCTGTGGAGCCCTGCTGGGTGCTGTGCTGACCACCGTTCAAACCCAGAGCAAAAATGGGAAAAAAACCCCAAGTCTCCTTAGGGCTGTAAATATTTAGATTATTTCCAGTGGCCAGTTACTGCTGGGGGAAGCCTGGAGGCATGTGGGGCTGCTGTCATGTGGCTTTTTGCAGGAGCAGGGTGGCCACTCATGCCTGGGAGGAAGGGGCTCCTTCCAGCCCCAGGGAGTCGGGGGGCTGGCTGTGTCACTGGGGGGATGCTCTCTGCTCCCCCTTCCCGGCGAGCCTGGCGCCGTGTGGTTTGGGATTCAGGGCAGTGGCGAAATGCCCCAGTTTGGCCCCTGGTTGTTTTTCTGTCTCTGGGTGACATCTGGTGCGTTGCTGCGAGTTCCCAGAAAGAGGCCCTGATG